TTAATTATGTTATTCAGGGGTGGAGGGGTTGTTTTTACTTCTATTTGTTCAATCTCCTATTCTTCTTTATGTATTTCCTCTTACTTTTTTCAATTCTAGGTTGGGGTGGTCCTTTATGCACTTTTGAGATTTTCTTAAGGGGGTGCTGTGATTCAAAATCTGTCTGCAGGTCCTGGTATCTGCTGACAGGTGTATGAATAATCTAAAACCCACTTCCCACTGCCTTGGAATCTGTCCATGCATTGGGGTTGTAGGTTTACTCCCTGAAATAAAATGAAACAGCTGGAATAGAATGGAGCCGGCAGTGGGAGGAAAAGGGTGGTGGAGAGAGAGAGGAGTAAGGGTGAAAATAGAGGAGTGTACCAACAAATGGAGAGAGAGACAAAAATTGAAACATAAGAACAATAGACCACGGCTACAAAGTAACCAACTCCCATACAAAAAAACTAAAACATACAATGTTACTAACATACAAGCTTACCAACTTCCTTATTGGTGTGCTATTCCTCTATACAAAGATATGATTTACAGAGGGAAGAAAAGAAGGGAAAAGAAGGAGGGAAAAAAAAGGAGGGGAGGACAAAACAGAAGGAATGGAATCAAGTCAATAGACTAACAGAACCAATCAAGCTGAGAGTTTTCGTTTAAGTTGAATGTCCTTTCAATTCTGCTTTCTAGCTGTCTTTTCAGGCTGGTAAATTTATTCACAGTTAGGATCAGTTGCCCCTGGTCTGTTGTGAAACGCAGTTCAGATCATCACTCAGTTCACGACTGCCCTTTTCACCACTCAGATCTGTCAGATCTGGCCGGTTGTCTGTCAGGCTTCCATTTTTCCCCTTCCGGTGTTGTTACCTTGAATCGCCACCAGGTGGTGTTATCCCTCACTCCAGATGGTCTTTATCTCAGCTGCTGGCCGCCCCTAAGGGGAGGGAGATGTTGCCTCAAGGCACATGGGAGGAGACTCATGGCCTGCCAGGAGGTCTCGGTGGTAGGAGACCTCAGCAGAACTTGCTCGCAGGGGCTTCAAGGTCTGAAGTTGTGGATCACCTCAGGCACAGGCTGTGTGATGTGTAATGGCTACCTTGGTGGCAGCGGTTGCAGCTCCCCTCAGGCACTGACAGTGTGATGTGGAATGGCTGCCTGGGCGGCGGCAGCAGCAGCAGCCACAGTAGCAGCAGCCACAGTAGCTGCCCAGACCGCGGTGATGCCTCAGCGAAGTCTACGGCCAAGCTCTGTGTGAAGAGCAGGCTGCCGACGATGGGATCTGCAGCCTCCGGGGAGAGAACCAGAGTCTCTTTGTGTTCTCCTCGGTGGAGAATCTCACAGATCGAGCTGCCCCGTCGCCATCTTGCCTAATATCAGATTAAGTCTTTAATACCTATGCAATTTTGATGTTCTTGTCTGAAAGTGGACAAAATAATGAGCATTGAGTATACAAATATTTATCAAATAACTACTTTGTGCCATACTCTGTACCCCATTTCAGAAATGCAATATTGAATAAGATTCAGCCAAACCCTGAAGGATCTTATATTTGATGCCATCGGGAAGTCAAATAAGGAAATTCAACAGTATTTGCGGGATACATTTATAAGGATCAAGTAAAAGAACTTATTAGAAATGCTTACTACCTTTTCTGGCAGTAGGTGTGCCATAAATGTAAGTTACATCTGTATAGTTTCTTTATTCTTAAGAGCGGTCAGTTAATAACTGTGTTTTCCAGGATAGAGAGTCACTTTCATTCAGTTGAATGTTATCTTTTTTCAGTCCTGTTAGAATAATTCTCTAGTTTCATTTCTTAAAGCTGAAATACAAAAATTGGGAGAAGTTGCAATTTGGGGTGACATAGTTGTGTATAATAGTATTTTACTGTTACATACTGTTGTATAACAGCATATACTGTTGAAGAGGAATGGTTGTTTGTTCATGCTCTTGCATACTCACTTATTATCTTATCTTTGACTGAAAGAAGAGAACTTGTGTCTTTTTAATTGAATAGAGTCTAATGACTATGCCCACATGGTGTGTTGTTTTAGAAAGAAGAATCTGGATAGTGAAATAAAGATATAATCACAAATAATTCAACGGCTGATATTGATAGTCTTACATCTCTCTTTTATAAAGCTTCTAAATAAACTGTCATCTCAAATATCCAAATTTTCATTTATAGTAAATGGGAGCCATGTTATTTTGAATTCAGTGTTGTGTTAGATAAAATATTATTGTGCAGAAACTATAGTTTTGTACCTTTAAAATATTTTAGTTTTATAACAGTCCATTGAAAAGGGGTCACTCAGAGAAAATTTATTCCAGGACAATTTTTAAAGTCTGGAGAATATTGGATATAAAAAGAATATAATTATTTTCATCCAAAATAATTTTATTACAAGAATGTCAGTTTTTAAAAACACTTTAACCAATGTTATTATACTCACATACAATTTTCTTTGTTGAAATTAATTGCTTTTGTTATTAATATGATGAAAGTAAAAATGTTTCCATTCCATAATACTTACAAGTAATGCATTATTCAATTGTTTTTGGCTGTATAACTATATACAAATCCTCTAATGGTATTTTATTGTAGCAAATTCTTTTTTATTGATTTTTTTCACTTTTATTGTCTTGTACTTTGAAATTGTAGGAAATTCTTGATTCTTATTGCTTTGATAGGATATTTATCAGAAATTTCATTATTTAAAATTGAGCCATAGCTATAATTGGAATTCTCAAATATTTCCCAGGGGCAAATATCTGTACAATGATAAGTTGATCGAGAATTTTCATTTCTTCTTTTCAAGTGTCAAGGGCTAAAGATTATATATGAACAGAAAAGTTTTCATTTTATTCATTAGTTCCTTCCTAGGCATTGGACAAGGTACATATACTCTGTTGCTGTCTTTCCTGTTCTCCTTGCCAACCCTCTAAAAATAGTATTCTTTGCTGAAATAGAGTATTTGCTTTTACTGTGCTTTTGTTTACTTTTTCTTAGATAGCATCTCTTGTTTACTACTTTCAAAACTCATCTTCGATTTTGATAATTGACACATTGTCTCTATTTTTTTTTTTGGCATTTTGACTCTAGAATAAAAAAACTTTTATGCATTTGCCTGTAAACATACATTTTTTTTCTCAGAAATAAGAAATTCAGACTTTAAAAAGGTCTGATTATCTTTTAAATTTTGTATTTCAATTGCCTCTCTTTGGTATTCCTAAATTCTTTCTAGAGTAGGTAGAGTTAACAGACTTGCATATTTTTGAGAACTTCATTTCATAGGATGATTCTCGAAATCTCTTTAATTGGAATCTTGGCTGTCACAGTCAATAAGGTGAAAGGAGTAATGTGAAATCCACAGGATGTCGCATAAATTGGCAATAAGATTTGTAAAGTGATTATAATAGCACTGTTACACTGCTTTAGGTAAGTTTATGTCAACTTATCTGAACTACAGTTTACATACAGCTAAATCTGGGCTGTGAAATTTGTCATCATATTTTCAGGAAGAAATTCCTAAAATGCTTACTATATTTTGGCAGCTTTGTAAAGTAAATATAAGAAATATATTTTGTGACTTTGAATTACTATTTTAGTTTTTGCTAATATGTCACTCTGAGTAATGGCAAAATCACGCATCCTCATTTTGGGGGGGGTTGGAGTCTCACTCCATCACCCAGGCTGCAGTGCAGTGGCACACTCATGGCCACCCCAGTGTCGACCTGCTGGGCTCAGGCGATCCTTCTGCCTCAGCCTTTCAAGTATCCAGAACTATAGGTGCTATTCCAGGCCTGGCTATTTTTTTTTTTTTTTGTAGAGATGAGATCTTGCCATGTTGTCCAGACTGGTCTCAAACTCTTGGGCTCAGGCTATCCTCTTGTCTCAGCCTCCCAAAGTGCTGGAACTACAGACTTGAGCCACCATGCCCGGCCAAAGTGTTATAATTTAATTAAAGAGCACTCAGTTGGGAATCAGAATGCCTGGGTTTTAGTTTGAACTCGAAAACCAACTGCCAATGACATTCAGCAAGTCACTTAAGTTCTCTAGCTCTGCTGCCTTGTTTTTGGACTGAGAAGCTGAACAAGGTGATTATTAGGATTCAGGGCAAGACTAAAATCCCATGACTATACTTTTGCTCACAATATATTTTCATTAATTATTGAAATATTTATATGCTTGCCAGGGTAGTATCTGTAAACTAGTGGTTTAAACCTTTTTATTATATTTGAACCACTTCCCCAAGGGCTGGTGTGGAATCAACTTGCTCCTACACATCAGAGTTATTCTGTTCTTATTTAGCCCTTTAGATATTCAGCACATTTTTAGCCAGAGTATCTGACATACATGAATAATTTTATAAGGTGGACAACCTCACATCCTAGTGGAAAAATATATGTCTCCCTTTTTTACTGAAGTCTTACTGGGAATTATTCCTTTTCTGTCACTATCACTGACTAGCCCTGGTTCTGCTTTGTCAAATTTGTTTGAGATCAGGCTGGCCCTGGTGACAATCATTGCTGGTATAGACTTTTTACAACATACAAAAACTTAAATGCCACACTATTCTTTTTAATTCCATGTGCCCTTTTTAAAGTACAGAAGCTGCATTCCAGCATGTATCTAAATGTCAGGGTACCATGATCTACTTTTGGACTGAGAAATCTTTTGGACTCCCCTGCCCGTATGTGTCTTTCTTGCATCTTAGTGAACAAAGTGCACACACAAGCACTCTCAGATACATATACCACACACAAGCATATGGTATCTTGTACCCCTACCTGCATGCACACAGACCATGCCTATTGCTTGGCTGTGGACTCTGCACTTCAACTGGGAGTGTTCGTTTTTCCCGGTTGTTACCTCCATTTCAGATTGGAAGAGCTTTGCTGTCAGAAGTGGCTTTGCATCCAACATACAGCGACTGCTGTGGGCAACCCTTGAACAATGAGCTTAAGCAGAAGAATGAGGGTAATGTTTATTGGAATAAAGATTGGGCTTTAAATTCCTTGGGGGGATGAACCAAATCCAATGTTTTCCTGCTCACTGACATTTTTTATATTGATGCTGTTTGGGGTCTTCTGGAGAAGGAAGGCAGGAAGAAAACTTCAGCAAATCAGCTCTTTCATTCAGAAATGGAATTCAAAAGGCTGCTTTAGCTAGACGTTTTGACAAACCCTGATTTCATCAGTTTTTACTGCGACGAGGACAGTAGCCTCACAAATTCTGTGACAAGTGATGAGGGGGAAACAGAGTGCAGTTGTTTAAATAATCCTGGGCCAATAGCGGTTGGTAGGTGGAGTTACTGTTGTATGCATTACAGAGCAAGATAATTCTGAATGAAGACTTTAAATATTACACATGCTGGATGGATTCTGGTTCTGTTCTTTATGCAAACAAAACAAGGGACTAGGTGACTAGGTTTTGCTTACTATCCGTTAGTGAATGCAGCTTGTCTGATAAGATTTTGTTTTTAAAACATGTAAAGGATTTATCGGAAGCCCTTATGAATATTTCATGAGTTGATATATTCAGCTGAATGAATTCAGTGAGTGTCAGTGTGTAGCTTGCAGACAAACCTCATCCACAAGGAGGCTACTGACACTGGAAGCACTTTGGCGCATTTTCAGAGGCAAAGCCAGCCTGATAAAGCTCCTTGTGACAGCCCGACTTGCCATTCTTCCAGTATGCTGTTCTTGCGGTAAGCAGCTCATACGTTGGAGTTCCAGCTCCCTAAATTAAACTGCAAAGAGTTTGCAGACTTATCAGCCTCCTGACCTGCAGCAGTGTCCGGGCTATGTTTGAGGTTTTTGTTTTGGATGGTGAAAGCTAGCACTCCTCACAAGACATGACAGCAAAAGACTCTTCCAAGGAACTTACTGCTTCTGAATCCGAGGTTTGCATAAAGACTTTCAAGGAGCAAATGCACTTAGAACTTGAGCTGCCGAGACTGCCAGGAAACAGACCCACATCTCCCAAAATCTCTCCACGCAGTTCACCGAGGAACTCACCATGCTTTTTCAGAAAGTTGCTGGTGAATAAAAGCATTCGGCAGCGACGCCGCTTCACTGTGGCTCATACATGGTAAGACGGGACTTGGAGGTGCCTACTGTGCTTTTCTGATTCTTGCCTTAGCAGTGGTGATCGAGCAGTGTGGAAAATGGCATGTTTGAGTTTTGCTCCTAAGGCATATCGCAAGTGTGAAATGAATGGAGACCAGGTTCGCTGAAGAATACATAAATGCACAGGGTGCTGAATTAGCATTGTGCTACTGGCAGTTTCCAGATAAAATGTGCCTCTGACTGTAGAGAGGCGTAACATTTCTGCTTATAAAAAATACAGAGCTAATTATAGGTAAATAGAGGAATATGAGAGTTTTAAAAGTCAGGCTTTTGTTTAATCTCTGTTGAGACGAGAGGTGACTTTTCTGTTTTGTGACTGCTGATTCTTCAAGATGTTTTGAGGACATGAATATGTATTTTAATTTTAGCTCTAATTTATTTCTTAAGACAATGCATAAAGCCAAACTTAGTTTATTGTATTGCCATGTTTATAGTATATAAACCAGTGAATTTTTGATTTTCTGACTTTTATCTTTACACTACTTAAGGAAAGGGAAAACTAAGTTCCCACTTCTGAAATTGCACTGGTAATTACTTTTATTTATGATTCCAAATTGTTTTTGTCTTTAAAAGCCTTTTTTTCCCTTAAAGTACTTTAACATTCACAGATATTTTGGGAATGTCAAGTAAATAAAGCTAAGAACTCTCTATAAAAACTGCACTAGGCCTGCTACCTTTAATATATATGTTTACAAAGAATGTAAATAGCCTCCTTAAGCCATTGCAATAAGAAAATGCAAGAGAAAACACAGTAAAATTGGATCACTTTTTCCTGTAAAAGCTAGGCCACTTCAGATTTCTTTGACGAATATATATACTTATAATAAGGTACCTTTCAAAATTGGGTCTCTGTACTTCAGTTTTATTTACTAGGAACCATAGGAATAAAGGAAGCTCATATCTCTTAAAACCAATTCTAACAGTGATTCTGTGACTGCATGCTGGGTTGCCAACCAACATTATAAACTGAGACGACTTGATTTTTGAAAATTACCCTCACACTGGTTAGTTTCTACTTATCTAAAATGTTTATCTCCCTAATCTCCTGCATGGTACATTGGCAAGTTAAAGTTACCCCTAGAAAGATGTAGGTTGCCTTTGATGGACACCACATGGCTAGCCAACACTTGCTTTTCCTGATAAGTATGATATGTTTATTCCTGTTTTCTGACAATGGACTATTGTCCATATGATTGTTCTACTGGAGAATTTCTTTGCTCATAGACTTGATGTATTAAATTTTTTAATTTAATTGCAATCTATTACTTGTAGAACACATGTGATTAGTTTTTCAAAACCTACCAATGGTGGTAGCATTTGTAGAAAGAGGAGGTTTATATATAAGGACATACTGATTTGAAGAAGTCCTCTCTCAGGCTTTATTTCATCCCTAATGCATGTGTATTTCCAAATAGTTTGCTAAATAGTATAACTGAAGAGGGGAAGATGCTTAGATGTATTGTTAATTGATTCTCATAAAAGGAACATATATAGAAAATGCACAGTTAATAAATAAATGGATGTGTTTTACTACTTGAGTTAATAGTGAAGCATTTTATTTTGACCAAAAAGATATTTAATTTTAGATAACTAATTTTTAGATAATGATAAGTCTTCTTAAAATCTTGGTAATATTTTCCTTAATGTAGAGTATTGCTTCCTGAATATAATAATGTGACCTTTCTTTTTCTTACAATAAGTTTTTCATGTGCTAGGAACATAGAGATGTAAATACTGTATTATTTTTCTTTTCAAAAGAACTCAAATTTTAAATGATTAAAATCCAGTTTTACTCATGCATTATACAAATTTTCTTGCAGCAGTTTCCAAAAAGAACAATTAAATGATAACTGAGGTTACTTATGCTAACAAGATGATCTTCTTTTAGGTGAGTTAGAACAAAATTCTCTACAATTGCCAAAAAAGAACATACGTGACTTTGATATAATGTTCTGCTATATAGGTTTAGAGAATTCATCAATCATTAAATTTATAAAACAGCTTTAGTTATGACTGTGATTCATTTCTACCTTTTCCTCCTTCCAACTCACACATTCTCCTGCTTACGTTTCTTGGTAAAGTTCCATCAGTTTTCCAGCTCATGATGAAATCTGTATTTACATTTATTTCTAATGTTTTATCTGACTATACGCTTATTATTTTTCAAATTTATTTTCATCAAATGTAATGAAAATCTTTTTGATGTATCTTATATATTTTAATGGCTTTTAAAATCCTAACAATTATGTGCTTTTTTCCTCATGAAATAGTTACATGAGGATATAAGAGCATAAGTACTTTATTTCTGCCTCTTTGTCATAATAAAATGTAACCAACCTTTCACAATCAATGAATGGCATTTTCCAACCCATGCATTTAAGTTCGAGATTCCAAGACATGCACTTAGAAGTCTCTAAAAACATGTTATTACTTTACAGTAGACAGTAGGCTTCTTTTAAGAAGATTGGATTGTTTTGATTCCCGTGTTGAAATTAAAGTAATTTTCATGATGAAGGTAAACAATGAACAGACTGCAGTTTATGTCTAAACCCACCAAGCAGTTTAAAAAAATTTTTAGTTATTTGCAGATTTCATACTTGAGTCAAATGAATGTGTAGTTCTGGTTTTGAAAATCCAAGTTATGAAGTGTGGGCTAATGACAGAAGATTTAAGAAATATTGGTAAGATTCTGACTCTGGGATTATTTTCAAAATGTCTGAGGAAAAGTAGATATCCAGAGTGTTGTCACTGATCAGAGTGTTTACACAGTCTCAAATCTGGGAGGAATTTGGGTGATCAACTCCTTACTTCCTTTTACTCTTGGGCAGGATCACAGTCACTCCATCTTTGATGTATGGGAATCTGCCCATATTTTAAGACTCTAGAGAAAACACTTCTACAATCTCACTTTGTTCACACAATCTTACTACTTCATAGGCCAAGTATTGGCAAGTTCTCTCTCCTGATTATATTGTTAATATATAATGTATCATCTGTTTTTCTCCCTCAGTGGGTATTTTTTAAAAGACTTATAAGAATCTGTATGGATCTGAAGAGCATTATTACCTGGTCCCAGAGTTTTCTTTTTTTAGCCACTCAGTGTATATAACTGAGCACGTCTATGAGCAAGAAAAGAAAACATTCCAATAGCTACTATATTTTAAGTTTTTTACTAGAATGTTCACATATTTTTGTCTCATTTAAGTTTCGTTCAGGGTATAGGTACAGCCCAAATTGATGTTCCTTTTGGTATTACATGTTGCAAATATAAAAAGCATTCTGAATTGCTACTCTGTTTCCAACTATTTCTACTCCATTGCTATTTTGACTCTTAACCACCATTCCAAATTTCCAAATTCTTTTTTGAATTTTGAAACCCTAAATTGGATACTATACTTATTGTTAGATAGTGTGAGGAAATTTAAAAAAAAAAAAAAAAAAAAATATATATATATATATATATATATATATATATGTATATATATATATGTCATAGGTTGCAAAGTGTCAATGGAATGTTTCATATTACTGAATAGGGGGATTACTGCCAGAGTTCTCAGTCAGGGCATTTATCCCTAACCCCCATCAGAGGCGACAACTTCTGAAGCACACTTACACTTATCCCGTCTGACCAGTATGGCCTGCCTGTTCTTGCCTGATGCTTGCCCCACAGTGGTCCAGCTCTTTCAACCTTCTCTCCTTTGCTGGTGTTCCAGCCACCATCATCAGCTCGCCGTCAGCAGCACGATGCTCTGAAGAAAGCTGCCGGTGATGATCTTGACATCCTGGACGCACTGCACACCTTCTTGCTATGCTGGAATAGCAAATGTATTGGTGCGCACCACCCACTATCTGTCTGTGCATCCTTCAAAGGGAACAATATTCTTATAATTAGAAATTAGTTGGAGAAAAGAGACTTGTATTTTTCTTCCTTTTCTCCGTGTAGTTTTACCTATATCTTGGAAACCTTTCCTAACTTTAACAAAGTTATGAAATGTGTACTTTTGTGCTTAATATTTGAATTCAAATATATTTAAAACCATAGTTTATATTCTAAAGAAACTTACACTTGGCAAGACAAATCTGTGATAAACCCCACCTGAGAAAAATAAAAATAAAACAATGAACATTATATATAGTTTACCTGAGTTTCTCATAATTCTAGGCACACTTACTGTATTATGCAACTTAGTCCTAGTTCATTAGCTAAATCTACTAAGTCTGTGCCAGTAGTATTCATCAACTGTTTGGAGTTCTTTCTTAGTAACACTGGAAATGTTTTTGAAAGATGTCTGTGTCTTTACATATTTATTGATTGAACATTTGATTGAACAGAAACATTTGTTGAGAGCCGTCTATGCACCAGGTCCTACACTGGGGTTTCAGGAGACACAAAATGAGAAAGACAGATCTTGCCTTCGAAGAACTCAGATACAACAGAAAGACAAACCTGTGCATTACTAATTAGTCAATGGAGTGGGAATGATTCTGTTGAAGAACATTATTCAACTTGTCATGAGAGCCCTGAATAAATACCTACCACTGGAGAGTGGCTCATGTGTGAAAGAAAGTTTAGAGAAGAGATAACATCTGTGTGGGGTCTTAAAGAATGAAAAGGCATTTTCCAGGAGAAGAGTGGACAGGAAGACATCCTTTTGACCAAGCGAACAATAATTAGAAAATTTCATGAACAAATACTAGTAATAATAGCTCCCATTTACTCAGCACTTATCATGTGTTGGACATTGTTCTAAATATATTTACTCATTCAATCACCTAAAAGTCTATGAATTATATACTATTATTTTTATTTTTTAACTGAAGAATCGAAGATCAGAGAGATAAGTAGTTTGCCCATGTCTACAAAGCAAATAAGCAACTGAAACTGGGATCTGACTCTGAGCACAAGGGAACGTATACATGGTTCAGTGTGGCTATAGCCTAAGATGCAAGGCGGGAAAG